TCTGTGGAATATAAATGGTCCCTGATCATGATGGTTTGACTTAGGATTTTCCAACTTAACGATCCTGTGCAGTTAAGCATTCTGTTTTTCACTTTCAGTACAATATTCCATAAATTACAGGAGCTATTCAACACTTAAAATAGGCTATGTGTTAGATGATTTTGCCTAATTGTAGGTTAATGTGTTTTTGTTTTTTTGTTTTAGTTCTGTTTATTGCTTTGTTTTCTATTTTATTTCTGGTCACAGAGTGTTTTTTTTAAAATTATTTTTGAAGCATACCTAATTCTTTTTAAGTTTAAATTTTTTTATTGCTTAAAATATTACAAAGAGTAGTACATTTGTCTCCTTTTTTTCCCCCTTGATCTTCCCCCTAATGTAAGTGTTTTGAGCAACATAAGGTAGGCTAGGCTAAGCAATGATGTTCAGTAGGTTAGGTGTACTAAATGCACTTTTGACTTACTATATTTTTTATTGATTGATTTGAGAGAGAGAGAGATCAGCTTGTTATTCTACTTATTTATGCATTCGTTCTCTATAAAATGGGGATTGAAGGTTCCACCTGTCTTCTTAGGGATGATGAAAATTAAACGAGGTGTTGTGATCATAAGGTTGTGGTGCAGAGTAAGTTCTCAACAAGTGGCTATTATTATTATTATCCCCCTAGTAATAAAAGAGAGCCCTCACCACGCTTAGTTATACTCTAGTGTAGCAAATGTAAGTTCTCAACAAGTGGCTATTATTATTATTATTATTATCCCCCTAATAATAAAAGAGAGACCTCGCCACACTTAGTTATATTCTAGTGTAGCAAATAATGTAGACAGAAGTCGTACCAAAAAGCACTAGAAATGAGAATGCCCCGAGGGGGCGCTGTGGCAAGAGGTGGCTCCCCTTGGAACTTTCCATCCTCTGAATCTGTCTGGCATCTGGCCTTCTTCCTCTTCCTCCTCCTTCAAACAAGATGTTTTTGTGGCATTTTCCCAGAAAACGACCCCATTTCTATTCCTGTAAAATTAGTCCTCTGTGGGGAGGGAGGAGTCTCCTTCAGGAGCCTGGGCTGGTTCCCCTGCCCCGGAGAGAGCTCAGGCCTCAACTGACCAGAATGCAGACCCCAGCCAGGGCCAGGTGCCCGGTGACATCAGCAGGAGCGAGAGGAGTGCCAGGAGTTCTGAGCCTTCTTTCTAGGGTCACTGACCAGTCCCCACCACATCCACCCCATTCTGTCCTCCATTTGTAAAGAGAACGGGTTCCATCCAGCCCCTTCCGGAGCTATGGGCTGGATCAAGGGGCAGGGAGGCAGCTCTGGTGAGGATAATAGTAATATTCCCACTGTCGTCCAGCGATATACTATGCATTTTCAAACACATACATATTCTTTTTTTTTCCTTCCGCAAATGGCAGCTTACCTACTACACTTCTGCACCTTGCTTTTTTCACTGACAGGCACGTAGAACTTTCTTTATATCCACACATGGAGCTATAAAACAGCTGGACGTATGTGTCAAAATTGATCGAACAAACCTACTTTCCATGGAGATTTAGGTTGCTCCCACTTTTTTGCTATTATAAATAACATTGCAAAGATTATCCTGGTACAAATGTCATTATTTAAAGTTTTTATGTAGTTGAAGTTATCATGCTTTTTTGGCTTTTGGGTTTGAGTCAAACTTAAAACCTTCCCCTCTCTGATACTTAAAAAAAAAATCCTCTTATTATGTTGATGTTAGTACTTCCATGGTTTTACTATTTACACTGATATCTTTGGATTTTCTTCTATGTAAGTGTGGTGTTGCTGTCCAGATGAGATGCTCTGCCCAGGCACTTCTCCGCAGCTCAGGATCGAGGAGTTGATGCCATCGGTGAGAAAACAGAGGCATGGGTCCAGCTCACTAGGGGAATGATTGGAAACGAAGTTCCGATTGGAAACCAGTGACCCTACCCTTAATACAACAAAAAGAGTCTTTCTTTTGAGCCAGACAATTACTTTTAAAAAAATCAGTTTTTCTATTTTGGAATAGTTTTAGAGTTACAGAAAAATTCTGAGAAGAGTACAGAGGGTTTCCATACACCTCAGACCCAGTTTCTCTGATTATGGCTATCTTGTATCAGCATGGTACATTTCTCACAACAGATGAACCAATACCCACGCATGGTTATTATCTGAAGTCCACGCTTGATTTGTAAAGCACTTTACTTGTTGCTTTTTCCTGTTCCGCATTCCCACCCTGGCGACCACATTACCCTTACGTGGGCATGTCTCCCTAGGCTCCCCTGGGCAGGGGCAGTTCTCAGCCTTTCCTTGTTTCTGATGACTTTGACAGCCTCGTGGAGTTCATCAATATCTTGTAGGACGTCCCTCCATTAGGGTTTGTCTGATGTTTTTCTTATGATTAGACGGGTTATTTTCCCAAAGAACGGCCCACATCTACTGGTGAGAAAGACCCCCCTAGGTAAAGGGTCATTCTCATGACTTCACATTAAGGGTCATTCTCATGACTTCACATTAAGAGTGCCTCCCATCAACATGGCTTAGGACTGTAGATGTTGATCTTGATTGTCGGCCTGAGAGTGGTGGGCGGGTGTTTTCCAGGCACAGTGACTGTGTGCCCCGCCCTCTCCTTTCCATACTGCCCTCTTTGGAAGGAAGTCACTGCTGCAGCTCACACTAAAAGGCTGGGGAGTTATGCTCCACCTCCTTGAACTATCCACATACCCATATATATTAGTTGGAGTTCTGCGGAGGGCACTTCCCCGTTACTTATTTAATTTGGCAATTACTTGTAACTCTATGTTTTAAACTGTCCATGAATAGAGGTACACAGGCAGAAATGAAACGTGGACACGGTGTAAAATTTAACAGACAAACACGGCACAGAGGGAGCGCCCTCTCTGAGACCTTTCTCACCCAGCCGCGCAGCTCCCACTCCAGAGACACCTTGTGCGCTTACAAACATGTCCAACTATATCCTTGCCCCCCACCCCGTTTGTGCCCAAATGGTAACTTAGAGGAACACTTGTTTACAGGTTGGTTATTTTTATTATACTTGCAAAATGTTTAGTGAGACATCTGGGAGGCCGCCCCGTGTCAGGCCACTGGATGGAGCAGTCTCGGATCTCCAGCCAAGGCCCCCATCCCCGAGCCGGGACGCGACACGGGGTTTACATCACACGACCCCCGGCGGACACATCCCGGCGCGCGCGCGCCCCTGA